AATTCTTTCGGCGTAGTGTGAACGGGGCCTTATTAAGGGAAGGTAGCCACTTCTAAAACGTGGAATAATACCGACAACATCGTACTGTCGCATCTGACTCGGTAGCTAATTACTACAGTATAATTCAACACAGAATTACGAGCAAAACTCAGTGAAAGAGAGTTCTAAGGAATATCCCAAGCACAGTGTGAACTCACCTGGTGTTTGGGGTTTAAAATCTTTGACTGAAATAGGTTTGTCTGATTCTGAAACACAAAAATGCACGGAAACATACGTCACTATACATTCAGCTTGTTAGCTGTACGTCGATAAACTAAAACCACACAAGAATCAAGATTTTGATAAAAGAATGGACAAAACATGCAAACATATTACCTTCTGGAAGGTATATCGCTCGTCCCATGTGAATGACTGCAAATTTAACCTTGAAGAAAATATAGACACGTCATTTAGCAGTAGCAAAAATTTTAAAAATACTGCGAGCCTTTGGTGTAAGGAACATGACATGTCTTTAGAATGTCATGCTGACCTCACAATGTTCGAACAGCTATTCAGTTATATGATTAGATAACCACGGCATAAAAAAATTCTTACTTTTTCGAATTCCTTTTCTTGAATATCTATCTTTTCTTTTACTCTTTCTTTTAACTTGTTAATCGGTTCTCCCTGCAAACAGACGTAAAGNCTGAAGATAATAAAATAGTTTAAGAGTGCTCACATTGGGTATTTGTTGAAAACACTTAGTGCGTGGAATAAATACTTAATTAACTTGCTCTAAATACTTGCTCTATAATACTGTAAAGCATTTCCACGATAAACTTAAGAACCTTTAATGTATACCAGTCATTTATAAAATGTTGCCCTACAAAATCAACGCTTTGCTGTTTAATGATGGGTTCGAAGCAAGCTATAAACATTGTTATTATAAGATCTAATGAAGAAAAGGGTGAATCGGGCTCGTAAAACGTCTACCATTACTTGCTTGCTATCCCCAGGACTTCTACTCTCGATCTGTGATAAATTTGACAACAAAAATACAAAACTGAGAAAAAGGTAGCTACACTTACGTCAGTTATTCGGATTAAAAACGGATTTCCAAAGGTCTGGTAAATTTCCTGATGATAAAAAGGAAAAAGGTTACAAATGCTCAAAATAAGTACGGAAAATCAAACAAAGAAAAAAGAGAAGAGTAGTTTTTACCTTATTGAAATGCGCCACTGGGACTAAAAGTTCATCTTTTCCTATTTCTAATTCATCTTCGGGAATTTCCTGAAACGGATTTTACATCACATGTTAGGTCCGCGAGTAAACAGGTTGGAAGATAGATCTTTTTCAACACATGCTTGCACAATGAATTTCCGAAACAGCACCACTGCCCCCAGATCTTGGAAGCACGAAAGCTCTCTGAAATCTGGTCTTAGATTTAGCTCTTAGAAAATGGTGAGGTCGTCCAGTTATAAACTGGAAAGTAGGTAATTAACTCTAAAGTAATTGAAGTTCTGGAAATCTCCGTCTGAGAGTTAGCCCTAAAAAGGAAGACAAGAAACAAGAGGGATAGAAAAGAGGGAAGAAAACAGGGATAGAAAAATTATTCGACCAAGGCGGGATTCCAAACAACGACCTCAGGATTAGACCAACATTACCCTATCGGTTATAACTAACTCTCCAGTTAACAAAAAAATTAAGACATAAAAGATATTTGTTTGGCAACTGTAATTTTTTTTTTGGCAAGTGAATATATGAAATATATTAAATTTGAGTAAGTACACAACAGCAGTGAAAATAAAGCCTCAACCTGATTGTCTCAAAGAAGAGTTAACTTTCATTGCCGACTCACAATACAAGGAGTTTTCCAGCCCAAACTTTAAAAACAAACGAAACAACTCGCTCTGTACACTAAACACCAACAGAACAAAGTTACCTCTATTCTAAACGTTCTTTGGGATTGGTTGATAAGATGTTCCAGAGCCACTTCGTTGTTAACAACGTTGAACACTTTAGAGCTAATAATCTCTAAGAGTCGAAGTTTCCCTGTGCCGTCGGCTTGCAAGTCCACCTGTTCACGCGCCTCGTTGAGTAAGTCTGACACCGTGCCATCTTTGTTGAGAAACAGAATGAGTTCTCTCTCCTCCTTGAACTGGTTAGCGACCCAAAAGCATCTGAATTGCTTCTTGTTTTCGAGTTGATCGATAGGAATACTAAGTATTTGGTAGTAAAGTTTCTTCGGTCCACGCGGCTTGTAGTAAATCAACAGATCTCGCAGAGTTCCTTCGTATGTACAACGTAGCGCGTTTCCTGGTGCGTCACGATATCTGAAACGAAAACCAAGCATCAGAACCACTCACTCATTCATCCTCGTCGCTCCTGTGAGTTGAGCATAAGACTACGAATGTAAATATCACAATCAACTGGAGAATAAATAAATTTTTTGCGTAATGTTTCACAGAAGCAAGTTTGGAGTCAAGAATTGTTAACTTACGCCTGTCCCTTGAAAAACTGCAGCATCATGGGATCGACTTCAAGATTTGATGCCACAGCTCGGGCAACCTGGGAATCGGAGACACAAAAAGCACACTGAAATCGTGTGGGTACAATAACAATATAGACATAAATTAGCTACTCCCTACGGTAAGTGATATATGAAGATCAGTCGGCCCCAGTTTAAACGTACTGCTAAATAGCATTATCTTGACTGGTCACGCACTTGGCTTTCATCTTCAGAGTAAAAGATAGCACAATCTTAAACAACAAGATAAACAGTAAGTACTGCTCAATAACCAAAACTCAAAAGTTAGAACCACTGTATACAGCATAATTAACAGCACCACATGAACGCACGGCTCGATAGCTTTCATTTAAATGGTCACACACTAGGGTTCAATCCACAGGCATGATACAACATTCATTGAGTGGAGGATTAAGAGTGAAAGATTTTATAAAGTCACTCTATTCATTCCCTGCCCGACAAACCTGCGTGTAGTTCATTCTTAGCGAAAGCATCACGCTAAACCCAGGGTCGTTTACAACATTCTTGTCACAAAATACAACTTCAACTCTGTTGTGCAGATCCCTGCAAGAGATAATCAAAAACAACCTTAATCGAGTCCATACAGCTACGTTGCGTAAATAACCAAAGTGGTTGGTCTGTCTGTGGTAATATTTGGACCTAGGTTTTACGACACTAAATTAAAAACTTCTCTCAAACTAAAACCAAAGCAATCCCTCTAACCAGTCGCAAAGGGCACAGACAACCGTGAGCCAATCAAAATTCGAAGCACATGTTGACGCAAAACGCAGATGTCGTGTACGCAGATGATAAGATTTCTCTTGGTTTTACTTCTGATTGGCTGAGAAAATGGCGCGAGGTTTTTGAACCAATCACTAATCATAGGATTGCAAAATCAAAGCGAACTTGGCTTACTTTCGACAATCACGAAATGGCCCTGTTTCTACATACACTGTACACCTCAACAAATAGTACATCAATCATTTGCTACCTGAAGTAGTCTTGTACTGTGGGCAATTCACTAGCACTGAGCACCTCTGGTTCACCTCTACACGTGACACGAAAGAAATTACAAAATTAACTAGCTACACTGTACAGCATCAACTGAAACCAATTACAAGTAGAAAAATAAGACAAATTATGGCCATCTGAACCTCTCGTTATCTCACAAGCAAATGTACAATCTCTTAATAACAGGTTTTAAGGAAGAAATGCAATGGACCATATTCGTATTCTCGGTATTGAACTGGAACTAGCTTGCTACTGAGGCTAATGCAGGGAGTTTTCAAATGCAAGTGGCATCAGTGCCTTTTGAATGATATTGCCCCGCCTGAGCCTCCCTCTAGTTCCATTCCTATATCAAGAATACAAATATGGCCGATTGTTCCATCATTTGGTTGGGTTTTACCATGATCTCACTGGCAAGTTAGTATCCAGATATCACAAATCGTGTCCGTATTACAGGTAGACATTCAACGAATTCTGGTTTCTTTGGTACCAAGCGAACTTTCCGTAATATAGAGGTGCCGCATAAAGGAAGTATCTGTAAGGAGAGGCTTGACTATCTGTATACGACAACGATTGAACTACAAACCTCTGAAGACAGATGATGTCGCCGTCCATGAGTTCTTCAACTCCCTGTTGAATAACACAGATCCTTTGTCAAGCTTTCTTTATTCAAAACAAGTTCGACTAAAGCGCGAGAAGCATAAAGTACGGACCAGTCAAATAATGTTTCAGTTGCTTTATAAAGTCTCGACACATACCTTTTCAAAGGAGATGTTTAAATCCTTGATTTCCTCCACATAGGTCGTTTTTACTTCCTGCAAATCAATTGCTGGTGTTAATTCAGGAAAAAAATTAAGACAAAATGGATTGGGAGCAATGACAGCATTCATTCTCACCTCAAACATCTTCACTGGCGTTCCTGGCGGTAAACCGACTCGCTCACTTAACACGGGAACAACATCCGCTACAAAGTACACAAGGAAAGTCTTATTTGAAGAAAACATTGATGTCTGTATACAGGTTAACGAAGGGAAAGAAGACAAGAAAACAAACATAAAATGCTAATTAATAAAACCCAAAGAAATCTTCTCACTTACCAAACTTCGTTGACAGGGGGATGTAAAGATGGCCCACAGAAGACAGTGTTTTTTCAACAGGGTCATAATGTTTGAAGAATAACAATACATCATCTGTGATGGAGATTTTTAATCATTAGATCACGACACAATCAAGTATTTTAAACTAACCAAATCAAAGAAACTAAATGGCAAACCATAGAGAAAAATCCAGAAGGAAGAAGAAGAAAACGAAGTTTGACTTCCGTCAAAGAGTCGTGATAGCCAGTAATTTTACGTACTTGATTTGTCGAACACTGGCAATCCTACTTTTCCTGCCTCTGCGAAAAAACAAACAAACAAGCAAACAATTAGTTTATGAGATAGGGAAATTACTAAGTTAAACTGACGTTTTCATTTTTAATGATTATTTTAGCGTTTCCTCAGTTTTTGGCGTAAGTGAGGCTGTCAATGTCACGGCCAAAGTCTGTACAGTGAGTACTCCTCAAAACAATTTTCTCACCAGGATCAACCGTCTCCACAAAAATACACCACTGCGATCCGTCAACTAACTGACCCAGCTACAAAGAAGAGAAAAGCAAAATTTAAACATAAGATAATTCACATTTCATTCACATTACAACACCCCTTCAGCAGGTTAACTGTACTCTTGTGGCTTAAGTTAAAACCTCACCGTTTTATCAAAGCTTCCCTCTATATCTAGTAAGCTTGGTCTTGTTGTACCATTACTTCTTGGCTGAAGTGGCCAGGGTCGAATTTGATTGACTGGATAGCCCTGCAATAGGAAAAAGATCGGGAAACGTTAATGTTTTAAGAGGGGGACCTGGCGGGATTTGGGAAGGGGGTCTGCCTAAAAATATGACTTCAAAGGGGAGCGGGGCTGAAAAACATATTGTTTGTAAACGGGTGGGCTCTCAAAATTATTACCTATGGGTATGTTCATGTTACTTACCAGACCCTCTGCAAGGATGTCCATCACTTCGAGAAGTTTCTTTGATTTTAGAACTTTGAAACTCCTACAAGGAAGAAATTGAAATAAGATATGACGAAAAGTCCACACCAGAGGAAGTGACCTCCTGAACAGGCATTACCTTGACTAACGTAGAAGGCAAAATCTTCTCTTGAAGGACACTAGTGCGGTTTCAAAATGCAGTTAACACAACACTAGTTTTTGCTCGGCGAGTTAAGTTATGACAATCTGTTTAGTTTTATTAACTAACACTCACTTTAATTTTGTTTTTTCAACATCAAACAGATCAGGCCCCTGGTGTCCAGCAAACTGGTCTTCAGTTACAACCTAAAATAACAAAACAAAGTTTTTACTTTTTTCCATGCCCAATACTTGAACTACACCAAAAATACTAACAGAAATCCACAGCCAAAGGAAATACAGAGCACTGGACACTGGGATCAATCGTTCCATGTTTGAGCCCTGGCCAGGGACATTGTGTTGTGTTATTGGGCAAGACACTTTACTCTCACAGTGCCTCTCTCCATCCGAGTATGTACATTTAAGCAGATAACGTATGGTAACCTGTGATGGACTAGCATTCCATCCACTAGAAAAAAGAACTAATCTACATGTACATTGTAATCGGTTCATGCTACTGAAACCAATGATAAGCACCAGCCTAAAAGGTCATTATGCTCAAAGGTGGGCTTTGTGCATTCTATTGCTATAGCTCTGTGTTCTCCCACTGGAGGTTACCAGACTATGGCAAAAGGAAACACCTCTTGCTACCTTTCCTATAGCTACCTACACAGATGATTGTATTTATTTGGGGAGGAGTCTGTGACGAGCTTAAAGAACTTCTGCATTCAAGGCTACCTCTTCTGCATTAAAGAATATTCAACATCTCATTTCTCAATACAAATAATAATTCCCTGGAAGTGGACACGTAATGAGAATAAGGAAAACCATCTCTGGAAAGGAAGGTTGTCTTCATGTGAGAATAAAATCACATGGCAGGAATTCTTCTTGATTCCACTTACATCCACTGTCACATACAAGTGAGCCTCTTGTCTCTCTTTTCTTCTCTGGGCTTCAAGTCTCCTGCAAGTCAATCACAGATGCATCAAACACATATCACGAACTTGAAACTTACGTTATGCTATCCTCAAGGGATGCACAATGACAAAATAACAGTCACTTCTTCACTTCTAAAATCATACATTGTAATGCAACAATCAGCCCATCATTGAAGAAAGTTGTGTTTGACATGAATCCTTTTTAGTGGTTACACAAAGGGACCAGTCCTAAGGGGAAAATCCACTGTAGTTTGTGTTTACACAAAAGAAATGGAAAACAGGAAAACTGTGCTTTCCTCTGTGATTGTTACAAGTGTATTAGCTTTATTTCAGTTCCAAGAAATTGTCCCTCAACCAGGAAACATGAACAGTCTGGAATTAAAACTGTTTGATATGATGGGAAAATAGGCAACTGTAGGGACAAATTTGACCCTGTGACAATAATGTTTGATAAAAAGGAGAGTTCACATGAGGGGACTTGTTCCTTAATCCCANTGCTCTACAAATATGGCAAGCATGAGGTTTTTTTGGTGTTTTTATTTTATTTTAATAGTTAAATTCTATATTCGGGGGGGCATTTTTAATAAAACAGTTATTTCATCCACACTTGTTGGATATGAGATGATTATAGCCAACTCATATCCAACACATGGTCGTGCAATAATTGTTAAAGTATATGCTGTATATACTGACAAAAATACCAGCATGAGAGTAATCAGCTCTGGGCTAGCAGCCATCAATCCATTACAATTCACCCATTCCATTTTACACATCAGTTTAAGGGTTTTCACCCACTGATTTGTGAAGTTTTCTTTTTTGACCATAATAATCAGCCACTCCGCACTGACTTGACTTACCGCTATGTACAAGAACAGCATGTAATGTATAATGGCCTAAATGGTCTTCAGGATCCTGAAGAAACTGGTTTAAATCAAGCTTCTCAAAAAATTCACATCTGAAAAGAAATCCATAACAATTTGGTGTGAAACAAAAACACAATAGCCAGGAATTTATTTCACTGTCTCTGGATAGTCAAGCCAATCTTTGTCCTCTGTGCTTAAAAGCTGTTCTTTATACCAGTAATGGAGACTTATCTGCATTTGCTAGTGCAAGTTATTTTTTCCTTTTTTTTTAATTTATCCAGTTAGTTAGACTGTCACCAAGTCTCATGCATGCAAGCAGGGCTGTAGCCAGAAAAAAATATGATTGAGGCAATGTCCATGATTAAATTATCTTCCTAGGTATTTAGGATGTTTATGATGACTATAAACAACAACAAGAAAACAAATGACTGAGGCAAGTACATTGGTTTGCCTGTTACTGGCTACAGTCCTGGCAAGTCTCAAATTTTGATCTTAATCAGTACAAACTAAGGGGCATGTCTGGATTAGTAAAAGCATATTTCCTAGAACTCTCAAGAATTAATATAAACTTGATCCAATTTGAAAGAATAGTTCACCCAAACAATTTGAACTTACTATTAAGAAATCCTAATAATAACAAAGAAAGTGATAACACACAGTCCAACAAACCTGTCATTTATTTTAACATTTGTGTCTGTCATTGGGTCATACTGGAATCTCATTAATTGCAGATGAAGGACTGGAGGAAACTTTGCAAAAATTACACCTTTCTTAGCTTCCTGTCAGGACAAAAGAGAACAACACAAGTGATACACACATCCAAGACAAACCGTGATAAAAAGTACCCTGAACTAGCACTGGCAAGGGATGTACATGTATGTTTTTCTGGACTAAACTTGGAAGGATACATGAAGTACTTTCCAGGGTCAGATCCAGAAAGGGGGCTCTCAGCGATATATATTTCTTCAAAGAATCATTACATCAGCCCCGTCATAATGTGTTGTAGTGGAAAGCAGGGTAACAGGTTGAAGAAGTAGGCAACAAAAGACAGAGATGGATTTTTTATTTAGTAATACGACTGTTGAAGTCCATTGTAAAGTACAGTAGGCGGCTAACAATTTTCTGTAGGCTGCAGAATTGCAAGCTGCAAGTACATTTTGACAAGACTGTTGCGCACACTGAAATGATGGCCAACACACAATAAACCTCTCAAGAACTTTGAGGATCTTGATGCTCGGTTAATAAAAAAGTCAAGCACCAAAAGCATTTTAAGATCCAACATTAGCCCTGTACCCTTATCAGCCCCATGTGATACTGACCTGCAGACCATATTCACCCGCATCATATTTGTTATCTCCATCCAATGTTTCCACAGCAATATACTCTTTGAAAGACTCATAAACTGAAGGAATATGGTAAAACAAATTCCATATTATGATAATGAAAATCACACTAATTTGAGAAAATTTAAATCCAAAGATAAATTTAAACCACAATACTGTAAACATTATCATTAAAAGACAAAACACTGCTCAGAAACAGGACAACACTTTTCAACTAAAATAATACTCCTCAAATTAAATTCCACTTAATAATGTAAAAATGCAAGGCAAAATTAAACTGCTCTTCTGTCATTTCGTCAGTTCCTACCAATTCAGTATAAAACACAATTCACCCCTGAAAACACCTTAGTGGCTGCATATTTATATAAAATCAACAATTTGTTCAAACACTTACTGTCCTTCTTGCCTTTGACATTCAACTGAATATCATAGAATGGCTCTTCCCTGAAAAGGAAATCAAAACGTTAATTTCACAAGGCTCTTAGAACCACAAACGATACCACAAAGACCTGTATGTATTCACATTGTATTTAGTATTATTCTGTGTAAAAGCTAACTCTGGTTATAAGCTATGAGTAATTCCAGTTTAGTGTTAGCCAAAGCCAAGGCACGATGCCTGCTACCAAAAGTGCAAATGAACAAGTTTATTATAATGATTGTTTATTTTTTTCTCAGTTCATGAATGAGCAGAATTCAACAAATGCTGCAATCTGAATGGTTCCGGAAGTGGGCAGAATTTTCCTATCGTCATGTTGATCTATTTTTGTGAACGAAAGAACTATTTTTAGTGGTAATCGTCAATCATTTGCCTCTTTTTACACTTCCATCGATGATTAATCAACGCAAGTTTATCACTGGATCATGCAGATGAGGCACCATTGACAAATATCAACATGGGATGCCAAAGGTGGCCAGAAAAGCCTTTAACATTGGGGAGGTCTGGAACCCAGTATGTTGCCATGGTAACGAAACTGTTAAGCTCATATTGCAGAGCACATTTAGTAGAATTATAGTCTGCAAGGAATCAAATTTCTGATATACATGTAAATTGACTGAGATATCTTTCTTTATCATATTTGATCAAAATTTGGTTGAGTTTATGATGTCATCACTTGGCTAATTTTCATATTTTGAAAACTTCTGGAATGAAAAGAAATACTTGAAAATAGTAAACAACATTTTTCTTCTCATACAGACTACTTGTTTCTGTTTTAAAATGGCTTAGATAGGAGAGATACAAATATTGTCATGACAACACTTTAACCCTTTACCCCCTAAGAGTGCAAATTGGCACACAAGGTCATAACTTTGTGAAAATTTGATAGATTTCTATGAATTTTTGCCATGAAAATTGTCTTGTGAAGATCTGCTCATTGAAGTCATAAANTACCTCCTTCATAGCTGCTGATGTCAATTCTTAAATAAGCTGATTAGTGGCTTTCAAATGGCATTTTGTACGCAGGCAGACTGTATTTATTTGCTGATTTGGGAAAAACTGCCGATTGCCTTAGGGGGTAAAGGGTTAAAGAAATTCATTTCTATTGATGAAAAAATGCTAGAGATGTTGAATCACACATATTTTTTTTTTTTGGGGGGGGGGGGTTGCTTTACAAGAGGCAGCATAGATCACAATCATGAATTTAAAGTGTGACTTATTCCAGAAATAAACAATACTAGTGTACAAGGTTAGTTATTCAATCCGATACCAGATAAAGTCAGTGAAGGTTTATTTTGAAACTTTAGAAGACAAGTTTTGAATACTGGTACACGTAGGTATGTGGTTGCCTACCTCTGTGATACATAGTCTACATTTGTGCACTTGATATATGACTGCAAGAAACACAAGATCAACATTATTAATGGAAACTTGTGTTGATAATGTTGCAAGAATTCCCTTTAAAGAAGTACAAAATTACACATCATACAATAAAAAAGTTGACAACTTACCAGCATTTTCCCCTCTAACAGTCTAGGAATTGTGCCCTATAAATGAAAATAATTTCTTAATAAACTAGCTGTTATTTCCTGCATTAGTAGGACAAGTCGACCTACAACATAAACATACAATACACAGTATTTCACAGACATCAGCGGAGGACACTCACAGTACTATTCAAGAGTCACCCACAATTTGACATACCTCAACACATGTTCCCTTCATTTTGCTCTCCATGTTGTCCAGTAACTATGCAGAAACAATGTATGATATTATTACCATGGTGACCTCTTGTAGACATTCACCATATACACAGTCCAATCACAAAATGAAACTAGAAAGTGGCGAGTTTGTATTAGATTAGGATTACTGAAGGTATATTTATTTCAAGGATGGAGGCTGGCTGTTAGAACTTGACAACATCCACGTTTAAGACATGGATTTTTAATCTGTCCCTGGAGAAATTTAAATTGTGCATAAAATTATACTAAAAATTTGATAAGCAGTCTTACCACTCTACAGAGCTCTTGAACGTCATGCTGCATGAAACTGTCAAGTGTCTCCCACCTGAAAACAAACCAGCAGTCACGTATTAGATGTTTACTGGTATTCTTTTTCGCTAAAACAAGTGTTTTGCATCTCAGAAGCAACAGATGATGTGAAAAACTGTTTCAACTATCATCAAACTTCTAAATCTCAACAAGAAATCCCTGCAATCAGCAAGTTCTCACGCCAACTGTTGTTGCAATAAAGTAGGTGAATTGCCAATGAAATACATGTACTAAAACCCGTCGAGAACTACAGACTGTATATTATGTGAACAAGTGTGGGAAAATAGAAATTGTTTCCAAACACGTCATTCTTGACTGAGAAAAATTAATGTTCCCAAGGCTGTTCCCTTCAGCATAGAAATAAGGGAAATAAATAACCCACACATCTGAATACACTAAATAATTGTAATAATTAAATAATCTTAAAATAGAAGCATGATTTGTTTACAGTGTACAGCATATATTTACTTGCTCACTACTGCAAGTATTGATAACAAGAAAAAACATAGCCAAACCTACCCAAATGACCGTGTTAACTTCTTTGTACCTACTGCTTTATCACTGCAATGACAACAAGAATTCAAACATTCAAAGATATTAGAAACTTAAATGATCACATACAAATGTAAAAAGAATGAATGTTTTAAAACCTGGGGTGCAAATCCAGTATCCAAAGAACGGACAACAAGGCACTTTCCAAACTGAAATTGATTGACTACATAATTTGGAAAGCCTAACTGTAAGAAGCTTCTCTTTTACACTCACCTGTGTTGTAACTCGTAGAAAGTTCTTTGAAGGGCAAAAGCTACGCTCCTGTTTGGGTCGTCGTTTTCTGTTGGCATCTGATACACAGCCTATCCAAACAAAAATAAGCGGGATACTATTTACATTGCATCTCTGGCAATATCAACAATGTTGCAATCAAAACTTCTTCCTTCTAAAAATTGCTGGAAATTCACTAAGCTTACCTTTCTTAGTTTATTTGTAAAATACAGCGTCTGCAGCAATGAGTTCATATAACATGTTGCCCCTTGATTCTTGAGTCCGACAAAGCCTGTATGTTTCTTTGAATCCCACCTACAAAGAAATAAACCCAATGTACTTAGTACATGTAACCTCATTCTACACCTACTGTAAAGTACTCTTACAAACCATGAAACACTGCTGCATTATAGAAACACTTTCAGCATCACTTGATCTAACCTGAATATAATAATTTACTACTATATGTTTTTACCTTTTTCTGATATCAAGGCACAGCTGGTAAAAGTGAAACTGAAAAACATGTTACTAAATATTGTTTCTGTCAATACTTGTTGACTATTTACAGTTCTGTATCCATTTTGCTTCTAACAACAAGGAAAAGACAAGACTTACGCCACTCCATGAGGAGCTTCTGCAGCTACATGTACTTCAAGAGTGATGGAGTCATCTTTGATAAAACCCTTATTAGGATCAAGAGCATCCTATGGAATGGGAAAATAACACAAGGATGTACACGCAAAACCACAGAACCTAACTTCTAGATATAAAGTAACACACACTTAGCACACATGTATGCAAGTAGTTATATCTCTGACATTCAAAACCACTCTGTGTAACAGGTGTCTGTTTGCTGGCATGCACAATCTACCACTAATATAAGAGGTCTCACATTGGAATCAAACTAAAATGGACAAAATAGCCTTATACACTCTATTCATGCTGTGTTTCTGGGTGGCTGTTCACTGTGTGCAAATCCCTGACACCACACAGACATCTGTAAGGCTACATCATGAGAACGGATTTTAAGTCCCACCTCAGAGGTGTCTCAAGTAACAGACAGATTATGGCTATATATAGAAAGATGCCTGTCCACTGAACTTATTCAAAACAGATTTGCAATTCTAACAATTTGTTAACAGCTAGCCCAGTCATTCAAAGGTGAATCGTGTCATCCACTGGTCAAACAAATCACTCCCAAGTGGATAGTGTAATTTGTTTAGTAAACACTTATCCCCTGAATATTGATTCATCTTCTCAATTGCATTTTCCAACCTTTCAATAACTGTATCCTTGTGTTTTAAAATTAACTCAGAATGAATCAAACTGACTTACACTCCAAGGTACAAAGTGACTGAATCCCCAGTCATTCTCCTTAGCAAAGAAGAGATGGGATATTTCTATAAAAGAAGAAAGAGAAATTAAACAAATGATGATTCATTTTCTTTACTCTCTACAAAATCTCTCTACAGCCAATCTGTATCTCACGATACCTGTGTATACATGTACATGTAAATGTAACTGCGTTCTGTTTGGGGCTCTGCTGAGCAGTATTAAAGATGTTTCTGAAGATTAATAAAGTAACTGACATACAAGATCCTTCACAAAAGAATTCCCTTCTAATTTCTCCAATAACAAATATAGTCTTAAATTTATAACTCAGATCATATCAATAGGGGTACCTTTCTGAAGGGCACTTTAAGCTTATCAGCTACATTTACATTATATGTATGGAGTATCCTTCCTCTATCAATCTAGGACTCACTTCTTGTGAAGTCTTCACCACCTTCCTGCTGACTTAAGAGTGACAACCTTGCTGAAGCTTGGCAAGACCATGATCTATAAACAGAGATGAGTGAACTGAATTCTCACGAGTGATCAACATTTAATTTATTTTAACAATCAATATCTTATCAAGCATGAAAGTGATGAAATATAGAAATTTGTCAACTAGGTCCTGATATACCAACAAATTCTCAGAACTAAGAAAGAAACAAATGCTGGTAGAGAATGAGTGGAATTGGATTGAAACTCTGATATAAAGAAGTAACTCAACTGAAGGAGTGCAGGGAATAAAGCCCTAAGCGACTTTTACAAAACTTTGAGTTAGCTAGGATTGAAATACCTCCCACCAATTTTCACATTTTAATTTGGTTTTCATTATTGTCTTAAAAGAACTAGTTCGTATTACTAGTAATAATAAATACCAGAGTAAATTGTGAAACTAGTGAGACAATCTCAGATAGTGCAGAGCACAATTGATAGCTCTGGTACAGTAGTCCCATAAATACTCACCCCTGCTC